CTGCTGTTTGCTGCATGTGTGATACCAAGTACATACTGGGGTGGGGGCTCTGCGATGTCTGCATGTTTTTGACAGGCCGACATGTGAACATGATGAGGTATAACAAGAAAGAGAAGAAGAAGAAGAAGATGGACAAAAAGATGAAGAAGAAGAACAAGACTGATACGATTGATAAGAACAGGAAGAAGAAGACTGACACACTGACGACAGGTATAGTGCAAGGAACATGAATGTGGACGAAGCACAGAAATCCAGATTGCAAAATCACACTGAAGTCCAAGTAGTCAAGGCAAGAGCAGATAGCACAATGGAACCGAGTAACCATCCATTTGAGAACGATACAAAAGAATCGTGAGTCAATGTCCAAGCCCAATCGGGCAACACCAACAACGTAACCCAATGTAGCTCTCTCTCTTGAATGGCGCCAGGCGCCCGACCTACTCTACAGCCTATCACTACAACTACAGCATGAAAGCAACCAGACAACTTGACGACCAGCGAGTGATGACGTCAACACCAATGCCGACCTCCTCTCCTCCAGGTACGTCTCTCTCTTCACCCTTAATCTCCCTTGTTATCCCACACAGCGCCCTTCACCTCCGAAGAACCACCTTCGCCCTTCACCTCCTCTGCGCCCGCAGGAAGCCCGGCTATGGCCGCCAGCGCCCTGCGCCCAGGCTGCGCTCTACCGCTTAGCGCTAGCCTGCCCTCACTCAGCCTAGCGCAGCGCAGCACACTCACAATGCAGCAGCGTGCCGGCCTTGCTCGCAATGGCCAAGATCCCTGCCCACTCGCCCTCCCTGCCTATATGCCAGTGTTGCGTGTGGGCGGCCTCCCTTGAGCCTGCGCCTGGGCCCCAGTACCTGTACCCAGGCCCAATGCCGTTGGGGCCCAGGAGATGCAGTTGCGCCTCTTTCATCAAGGCCTGCGGCCAGATTCAGAGAGTGGACCGGTTTCCCATTGGCATTTTCGGCCTCTATATCCAGCATGCATTGTCGGCCTCACGTTTATGTGCCCAGGGCCTAACCAACTCAAGGGCCCTGGGATTTCTGCATTGGCAGAGATCCGATACTCGGTGCACTCCAACCAACTGGCGTGCGGCAACTGTATGGACCCCACTTCGTGAAATGTTTGAACAAAGGGCTCTCGTTGATTTGCTGGCCCGCCTTCACTTAGGGCGGGCACGAGGCTTCCTGGGGGCCTTAGCCCAGAACACGTACATCACGGCAAGGCCCTTTTGAGGGCTCAATCCTCACATTCCATCCCCCTTAGCTTCGAAAGTCCGCTGAGATGCTTACTTTGCAGGTGCCTTCCCTCTTGACATCCTCTCATATTCTGCCACCACTTGAGGAGCTGTGTCAATCAGTTCCTCTCTGGTAAACCACCGATCTTCTTTTGGATTCGTATGATGCCTGAATCTGACACGATATTCTCTCTTGGGTTTGGGAGGTCTTCCTCTACCCAGTGGCTTTGGAACAGGCAGGTCTCTGTGATCCACAATGTCGTCGATGTCCACTTGGCCATCCATGGTTGGGGGCAGCATTGATCTCCTTTTAGGGAATTGATCTGTCTCAGCGAAAGGTGCAAGCTTTGAGGCATGAAAGACAGGGTGAGTGCGTAAGTGACCAGGGATGCGGATAACATAGGTAGGACCATCCATTTCATCCTCTACTATATCCAAGACTTCCCAGGGACCAAAATACTGAGGCATTAGTTTACGAGATATTCCGAATTCCTGTCCTAGCTCACTAGCCTTGACCCAGACACGTTCCCCTACTTGAAATGAGGACTGCCGACGATGTTTGTTCTCAGAAGCAACCATTGCTTGCTGAGATTTCTTGATATGCTCGACAGCTTGCTGTAGCAACTTCTCATACTGCACACCGTACTCAAGTGTGCCTGGAGTTGCAGAGGATCGGTTTTCAGGCAGGAGGAAGTCCAGTGCTGATCTAGGCTTCCATCCCAAGTGTAGCTGGTTAGGACTGAGGCCGACACTGCTGTGTACAGCATTGTTGTACAGGCTGGCGATGAGAGGCAATTTCGCATCCCAGTCATCCTGGTTGGGCTTGATGTAATGTCTCAACAAGTGTTGTACAACTCTGTTCATCTGTTCGGCCTGTCCGTTTGCTTCGGGATGATTCCCTGAAGTCATCTGAAGTTGACTGCCCATCTGTTCAGCAGTTTTCTTCCACAGCTCACTTGTGAAACAGACATCTCTGTCACTAACGATTGACTTTGGTAATCCAAAATCACGCACCCAGTTGTCCAAGAACAACTTGATGACGTGTTCAGTCCTTGCGGTCTCTTGCATGGCAATTAGTCTAGCGTMCTTGGTGAATCGGTCTATGATGACAAAGATATGCCTCTTGCCATTCCTGCTGGTCACCAGGGTGTCCATGAAATCCATGGAAACACTGTGTCCTCAACCAGCGGGGATAGGTAAGGGCTTCAGCAACCCAAGCGGTGCTTGAGTTCGCGGCTTATCCCGCTGACAGACCTGATAGGTCTCAACATACTTCTTTGCATCTTCTAGCATTCCGGGCCACCAAAATCGTTGTACTAGATTGGCACTCGTCTTTTTGTAGCCAAAGTGTCCGGTCGTGTCATGACATTCTCCTAAGAATAAACTACGCAAACGTTCACTAGATGGAACAACTAACCTTTTAAATCCGGCCTTATCAAGAAAGAGAATCCCGTCCACCATCACAAACTCATCTTAAGTGGCCTTGTCTTTTGCCTGAAGTTTGTGTATGATGTCCATCGTGACAGGGTCTTCCTGATAGGCTTCCACCAGCGATTGAGTTAGTTCCTCAGATACACCAAACTCATAAACTAGCGCCCTTAGGTAGTCTGCTCTACGGGACAACGCATCTGCAACCTTGTTGTACTCTCCCTTCAGATACTCTAGCTTGAAGTCATACTGATCTATGACCTCAATCCAGCGCTTGAGTGCATCAGAAAGAGCCGGTTGAGTCTTGATCCATTTGAGGGTCTAATGGTCAGTTCTCAAGTAGAAAAACCGTCCCAACAGGAAGTGCCTCCAATGGACAAGTGCTTTGTAGAGAGCATAAAGTTCCTTTTCATAGGTGGACTTTGCCAGTTTCTTTGATGGCATCTTTTTGCTCATATACTCAATCGGTCTCAACTTTTTCACATCTTGCTGAGCCAGCACTGCGCCAATGCCGTATTGGCTTGCGTCAGTGGTCACTATGAATGGCTTCTGAGGATCGGGCACCATGAGAACCTCATGATTCGTGAGTGCATGCTTCAATCGTTTGAAAGCAGCCTCGCACTCATCACTCCAGTCCCACGGCGTGTCAAGTCGAGTTAGATCAGTCAAAGGAGAGGCGACTGTGGAATAGTTCTTTACGAAGTTTCTATAGTAGCCGCACATTCCTAAGAAAGATCTGACCTCAGTAACAGTCTGAGGTCGTGGCCAATCCCTGATACTAGCCACCTTCGCATCTTCCGGCCTAATACCTTCCGCGGATACTTCATGACCCAAGTATAAGATCTTAGTGCGTCCAAACTCACATTTCTCTAGGTTGACCTTATACTTGTGCTGTCGCAGGAGTGAAAGTACAGTTTCAACGTGCTGTGCATGCTCCTCGACAGACTTACTGAAGATAAGAATATCGTCAAGGTAGACAACCACAAACTTATCTAAGTGGTCATGGAAGATCCTATTCATGGCATGCTGGAATGTACCCGGCGCATTGCAAAGACCAAAGGGCATCACTACAAACTCATACAGACCGTATCTGGTCTGAAAAGCAGTCTTGTGCTGATCCTCAGGTCTTATTGCAATTTGATGGTAGCCGAACCAGTCTATCTCGCTATAGTACTTACATCCTTGCACCCTATCCAATAGGTCGTCTATGCGAGGTAGAGGCTCTGCGTTTTTCACTGTGATGGCATTGAGGCCTCTGTAATCAACGCACATCCTCAATGTACCCCCCTTCTTCGGTACAAATAGCACTGGAGATTCGAAGGGGGAAGTACTCGGCCGGAGCCATCCTATAGATCCTTCCCTTTGGGGTTTTACTCCCTGGAATGATTTCTATGGCGTGGACAACCTCCCTATCGACAACTCCTGTGGGCTCTGTGAACAGATCAGGGAACTTAGCAACGACGTGTTCTATCTCTGGGGGTGTTTTAACGACCTCCCCTTTCTCAGAGACATACACTAGGCACATACCCTCCTCTTGGTTCTATTTATAGTAGTTATAGAACGCTGATGCACACAAGCAGCCATAGGTATCGATTATACTACTGGCTTTGAACTTTGTCAGTCTCATTGTTTTTCCATCAGGCAACTTATGCTTAAGCACCTTCTTATCCCAGTCAAACTGGGGCTTGGCAACCTCAAGGTAGTACATCCCTAACAACATATCGAATGGTAAGTCGTCGCTAATCAGGAACGAAATCTTATGATTAAGTTCCCCTCCTCCATAGGAGAAGGTACAAATTACATCCTTGATATAGTCTGTGACAACCATGCGCTCCTTATTGGCCAAAGTAGATGCTACCGGTCTACTAAGGTGTTGTACCCGGTCCTGTAGGTGCAGCCTYTCCAAGYAGTCGCGACTTATGTAATTCCGTGTGGAGCCGATGTCTATGAAGGCACCACATTTGCGGTCTCCTACAGCAACTTCCACAACGAAATGTTCCCATCTAGGACCTTTTCTTAGTGCCACCCAAGATTCACGAGGGTCCTTACTTGACCACTCACTTTCTAAATCTTCTAAGGCATCAGACACATCCAACGTATAGAGCATAGTTTGGTCTGGATGAGTCTGCAGGGTGACTAAAGAGTCATTAGCTATGGCCTTCTCATGAAGGGAGGAGGGTATTTGGCCCACTTCACCATGAGTAGAAGCAGCTAAAACTTCCACCGGCCTCACATGTTTCCCGAGCTAGAAGCTTGGGAAGAAGGTACCCCTCCCTTAGGGGGTATCTTTTGCGTGACCTTGGCGTTCTTGCACTTGTACTGGGTGTGACCATACTCACCACAATTGATGCAAGCACCACGCACTCTTCGGTCCCGACACACATCTTGATCTAAACCAGCCTTGACCCAATCAGCAACTTTGGACTGATTGGAGGCGGTCTGCCCTTGACTCTTTTGGTGACCCTTCCCTCGGCCACCTGCCTTACCTTTTACTACCGCGGCAAGGGTGCTACCCTCAACAGATTCCTCGCCGTCATACTCTGTGGTGTCCAACAGGTCAGAAAGGTCCTCAACCTCGGTTTGAGTCCCGTCGGTCTCAACCATCATAAGTCGACTCCCCTTCTTCTTCCACTCCTGTGGACTCTTCTTCTTCCTTCCGTCTACTGGAGTAGGTTGAGCACTTCCTAGAGTACTGCCTCTAAATCTAGGGCCTTTCTAGAGAAGGACTCAAAGGTGTGATACTCGAGGCATGCCTCGCTGGCCAACTGTGTTCTGAGATTCTCTGGGAGACACCTCACGAACATGGTCAATAAGACCTGGTCATCATAGCGAAGGCCTGGGACTACGATGAGATTCTCCACTGTAGTCATAAGCTCCCTAACGGACTTGTACCGTCGCTGGTCTAGTCTTATTATGGCGTCAGTGGCAATCTGTGCCTGCTGCGGATTATGCCAGCGAGCTTCTACCATGTCTATGAACTCATCTAACGTCATGGTCTTAGCCCAATCTGCCATGCGTCTCCCAAACCCAGCTTTCGCTATAATCCCGTCTAGCCATTTGGTTGCCTTACCCTCAAGGTAAGATGCAGCAGTAATCACCTCCTCCTCCTGCAAAGTCCTCTTTGCCCTTACCCACATTGGAACCGTTCTCAACCATGTGTTGAGCTCCTCGTCCTTCTTCTCACCAGAGAAGGCGACAGGTGGTTTCATTGGGGTCTTTGGGTACCATGGGCCTTGTTGTTGTCCCTGTGGTGGAACAGGTTGCTGCTGCGGTGATGGAGTAGCTGCCACCGCAGGACCGAAGAAGCAGAAGCAACAGTCTGAGATGCTGCTACTGACGAACCGCTTGGTTGTGTGCCAGCATGGGGGTTGTGTGCCAGCATGGGGGTTGTGTGCCAGCATGGGGGTAACTGCGGGCAGCATTGGTCCTAGCTGCTGCAACTGAGCCAATATCTGATCCAAAGTGTCCTGCATGAAGTCCATCCTACTGTCTACATGCGCATGCAACGACAACAAGCTTGACCTCAACACTCTTACATGGTCGTTCATAGTTGACTCATCCATTGCCTCTAGTGCAGTTTTGTTGGCCTCTACCATTTCCAATCTGACTGTCCTATCTCTAATCTCCTTTTCTCTATCAGCAGCTTCCTTCAGTTCCCTCTCTAGCCTAGTGCGAATCCTTTTAACTTGCTGGAGTTCCCTCAACTCCCGCTGGCGTGGGGTCAGTGGGCTTAACTGCGAGCCCGCCATTTGACTGGTGGAGCGACTAGAACCTGCGACACTGGAACTACCCGCAGACCCAGTGGGCACCCCCAACTGAGTGGCAGCCGAGGTGGCACCATTGGTTGCTGCCGCGGTAGCCATTGCTGCTGCCGCCGCTTGCCTTGCTGCTGCGTTAGCTGCTGCTAACTCTTGTGCAACAGCTGTTGTTGTCCTCACGCTCGCTGCTCGAGCACGGGCTATAGCTTCGGCTCTAAGCCGTCTCTCTGTATTGGTGTCCAGGTACTGAAACACGTACGGGATCCTACGTGATCTCGATCGTGTTACTCTAACATTGTCAACTCTACCCTCATCGCTGTCTGATTCACTCATGAGCTATGCATACACTGTCTGCACTAGAACCTTCTAGAGAAGTCCTACCACAACATACGTTTGACCGACACTTAATTTTCTAAAAATAGTTTGTGTCCAGCAGGAAACCAAATGCTACCATTTCAAGCGGTCGTCAACAACATTATCACCGACTGTGCACATAATCTAATCATACCATTGATTAGTTCACTTACAGCAGCTTGAGATAGAACCAGCTATGGTAGTATACGACTGTCCTACTCTAAACTGCATGTGAGGTGTTTAGCAGTCTGTCCACCAACTAATCAAAAAATAAAATTAGATCATGTTGCAGATGTATGCATGGTGGAAATGGTTGTGTTTACAGTTGAGCACCAATTAGAACCTACCCTCCCCTCCATTCAACATACCGAAGAGCATCTTTGAGCGGTGGTGTCTTCGTGTGTAATGTCGGCCCACCCCTGTGCCCCAAGTCATTCCCGAACAAACCAGCCCATCCACTCTTATTTACCCTCGTACGGAACGAGCCTTACTACCCGGTTTGATCTGGCTGATCAGGAGGGATTTAAGGAGAGCCCCCATCTCCTCAGGAATTATTTAACGTCGCAGACAGGACGACGATCACAGCCAGTATCAAAACCGAGCCCCCAACCAAAAATATTTATAGACAGCCTGGTAAGCGTCTCTTATGGGCTGACACCCCCGGCACGACTTCTATAAGGCAGCAAAGTGCCAAAATGGACAAGCAGCCATCGCATGCGTGACCTACTCCCATTGGGTTGGCATGGTGACCGTGACCCAAGTGCTTCGACCAGGGCCCTTCAGAGGCACCGCCCTTTCTCCTTCCAGATGCTTCTCGGAAGATTGTCGTCTCTCAAGGTAGCGCGCATTCGACACCTCACCAATAAGAGAGGACTCTCAAGTTGAACTCACTTCCTCATGGCAAGAAGAGATTGAGAGGGTAGATAAGGTAAGGGAACAACGTACCTGGAGATAGCTGCCCCCAACCACAGATTTCTCACCAATTGAGCTGAATGTGCATTTGATGACCGGTCGTTAGCCTCGGTACCACCCACAACATAATGCAGTGCCACCTCAGCTAAATGCCACATCAGCATGCTCTCATCACCAATCATACATTCCGCAGTAACCACGGCAACCCATGTCGTATAGCCTTCCGGCACGCGCCTCTCTACCCAGGCCGCGTGCCTATTTTTGTGCCCGCGTCACAAGTACCAACTGCGAAGAAGCATCGTCAACGCACCAAGTCTGTATAACGCGGCGCACGAGGTAAGCAGCGAATCGAACCAGCTCTGATACCAACATGCAAGGAACATGAATGTGGACGAAGCACAGAAATCCAGATTGCAAAATCACACTGCGCTGTTTTCTTTCGACGCTTGTACACAGTCGTCGGTGCATGCTGTTACTGTTGCGGCTCCTCCTCGCTGTTCACCATGTCGTCGTGCTGCTGCTCCTCCTCGCTCTCTCCCACCCGTTCCGCATGTTGGTCCTACAACCCCTCTTCTTGCTGGTTCGTGCCCTTCCCTTCGTCTTGTTCCATCTCCTCCTCTCGCCTCTCCATGCAAGCCTCTTCTTCTTCCTCCTCCATCTCTTCTTCTTCCTGCGCCAGGTGGGCCATCTCGTGTTCTTCCTCCTCGTCTTGCTGGCCCATCTCCTCCTCTTCCTCCTCCTCCTGCTGCCCCATCTCCCGCACAGGCTCTTGCTCATGCTCTCCAACCTTTTCTTTTGTTTCTCCATTTCTCTACGGGTTGGTATAGCTGCTCGCCGCTCCTCCTCCTCTCGCATTCTCCTTTGCACCCGTTCGCGATCCGCATCAGCCATTGCCTTCGCACGATCGGCCTCCGCCTCATCCGCGCCGATTGGACCGGGGCGAAGCACCATGTCAATGTCGGCGTCCGTCTGCGGTAGCTCAACATCGGATTGGATATCGTACTGTGCACTTGTGTTAGCCGTCCCTTGACATGGCATTGTGGGCGGGCGTTCTCGATGGCACTGCGTTGTTCGTCTCCTCCCAATATATGTGGTGCCCGGGATTGAGGGCTGCGCTCCCAGCTCAAAGTCATTGTCGGACCCGTCTTCTGCCTCCCCTTCGCTAGACGTTTCAGACCATGGAGCCTTTCCCTTCCATATCTCGTCCTCCAAGTCGTTGTCGTCCGTGCGCTCCTCTTCATCTTCTTCGAGGTTCTTCGGAATCCGGCCCTTTGGTAACTTGGTTAAGGCCCGTTCCCGAGCCTGCTCCTCCTCCGTTTTCCCCTTCTCCTCCTCGGGCACCTCCAAGAGAGGATCATCGCCCTCCTCCGCATCTGGAAGAGACTCGAAGAACTCCGCCCACAAATCGACGTAGTGATGGTCCTTTCTTGCTCACCCGCAACAGATTCATGTTCCAATGAATGTACACAAGCTTCTCCACGGTCGCGGGCTTCAACCGATTCCGTCGCTTGGAGTGCACCAAGTCCATCGAGGACCAATTACGCTCCGCCGGAGTTGCAGTGCTCCACATGCCCATCACTTTGATAGCAATGGCCTGCAACTTCGGCACATTGCCGCCATGTGTTGCCCACCACTTCGACGGTGAGATAGTATCAGCATCCTCGACCGCATCCTCTTCCCACATCTTCTTGTCCTTCCGCTTGGGGTCGTATGCGATGGGTCGCTTGTGAAACTCGAGTAGGTCTTTCATTATATCCATATGCGCCTTTGACTTCCGAGGTGCGCCAATTTGCCTCTGCAAATAACGCAGCACGTTCTGCACAAGTGCGTTGTCCCGGTCCAGCAACCACTTCGGATCTCTCCTCCGCGGGTCGAGAAGAAAAGCCAGCGCGTGCACTGGTTGCCGCATCATCTTCATGCGGTCCCTCACCTTCTCTAACAGAGAACTTCATTGCTCCGGTGTCAGCACAACCTCCGCCAGCATCCTCTCCATGAGTCGGTCGTACTCCACAAGGTTTGACGGTGCAGTCCCGTCCTTGTCCATCCTCCGCAGTAGGAGATACAACGGCTCCATCATCTCCACCACCTTCCTTAGCTCCGTCCACTAAGCATCCCTCCGCATTGTGAAGTACACGAGATCCGCTTTCGCTTGCAGCTTCGCGCTCGACCACCGCATCACCTTCCATTTCCCCACATTCGTCACGTCCACCATGTCCTTCAAAACTGCCCTCCGGTTGTGTATCCGCTCCAGCATCCGGTACACCAACCTGAAATGGACCTCAGTCGGTCGCAACAGCGTCAATGATGAGTCCAAACTCATCATGAAACTGTTAGTCGTGTGGTGATTCATGATAAATTTGATGATGGTGTGGCCCCGCTTCACCGTGCCCTTCACCCACTCCAACTTGCTGACGTCCCTTAGCAGCAAGTTGCAGCAGTGTGCAGCACAGGGAACCCAAGGTATCCTTGAAACCGCAGGGTCCGTGCGTCGTTCCAAAATTTGAGCTGCCCTCCTATTCACCTCCGCGTTGTTAGTGCAAATCGCGTTGATGCGTTGCAGCCCGATCTCCCTCATTATTTTCTCCCATAGTTTCACCAACGCTGCTCCCGTCTTCTTCCTGCCGTCCATGTACACCGTCGCCACTAGAACAACTCCCTGCTCCCCCGCCGCTAAGAAGTTCATGACAGGCCGCTCCCTCCGATCGTTAGACCCAGCCGGTGACATCCCAACATTTTGTCAAAGGCTCCACTTGCTTTTGAATGCGCATGAAAATGAACTCGAGCATGACAGTCCGAATGTGCTTCGAAGACGGCAACTTCACCTGCGGTCTGGCGTTCGCCACCTCGAGATACACGTTGTGCAGCTGCTGCGTGGTGTCGAACTCCAGGAATTGGAATGCAATTCCGGCTCTGAACATTGCCTCCGCCCACGCAACATCCAACTTCTTCTGCGCCGCGTTGTCGACC